AAGTTCGCGGGTGCTTGCTCGGCCACCAATCATCCATGCCGCGAGCTGCCCGGTATAGACCGATATTGGACCCGATAAGTGGCCGCGGCGCATCCTGTAAGCGCCCGATAGTTGACCCGATTAGCATGCTTGTGCCTAGGAAGAGTGAAAAAATTTTGGCCTGTCTTTCATAACAACGACCTAGTACGAGTTGAGCAACTTGTTAGCTCATTTGTTGACATCATCTATCGTCGTCGATGACACTCAACCGATTGCTGAAGTTTGTTTCGTGAGCATATAAACTAAACTGTCACACAGCCCAACCCGAGAAACGATTAGCAGCCCCACGGACACTTAGGGTAGCCCCATCGCTGCGGCGTATTTCTCGCGGGTTCTGCCGCAAGCTATAGCGTGTAAGAAGTGCGGCCTTTGATAAGGCCCGCGGCACGCCGAGTGAGGTGATTGGGCCGCGACTCTCCCGATAAGCTCTTTCCAATTTTCACTTTGGCCGCGGCGTTCCCGGTGAAACATACATGGGCCGCGGCGTGCGCGGCTGAAATTTTAAGGGCCGCGGCGCGCCATGTAGCACGCTTTGAGGCCGCGGACTTTCCGATGCAATTGTCTGAGTATTGTTTTGTGAGGTTGTGCTCGTTTGTTTTGTAAACCGGGAAGAAGGATGCGATTGGAGATTTTTGGATGAGAAATCTTTTTTTCGGTAAGTGACATGTAAAATACCGCTCTCAGAACGTGCAAAATTTCCGTGAATTCCGCGAAATTCCGGGAATTCCACGAACTTCCGCGAAATTTTGAGAATTTCGCGAAATTCATGTGAATCACGCAAATTGCGCAGGGCCATAACTTCTTTCCGAATGAGTATATTCAAAATCGAAAACAGCATTGTATTCAACTCGTCAAGGCGAATCTTTTGATATACAGGTTATGTCCAATACCTTGTTTTCAATAATCTTGAATTTGCATGCGGACGCCTCTTCGCATGGGTGTAACGCAACCAGCATCACACATAGGAGACTGCCGTGGGCACCGTTCGATAGTACTCTTTCACCAGATTATCGTGCGCTAAGCAGCAGTCGAAGACTCTCTTTCAAAAGAGATAGAAGAGGTGATAAACTCTAGAAAAATCAAGCTGTTCCAAGTTCTACTAGCCGTAACTTCCTTCAGAATGAACATTTTGGAAACCCGAAAGCAGCATTGTGTTCATCTTGTCAAGTCGAATCTTACTGTATAAGCATGCCCTTGAAATTCCGTTTCCAATTTTTTAAAAAATTTCTGCGCGCGTATATTCACAAGGTTCGCAACGCAACGCACATCAAACATAAAAGACTTCAATAAGCACTGTTGGGTTGTGCTGCTTTCGCAGATTATCAAGCGCTGAAAAGTAACCGGAGAATCTTCTTGGAAAAAGATGGAAGAGCTGGTGAATTCTGGAAATATCGTGTTGTCTCAAATTTTACCCGCCGTGACCCTAAAATGAGAAGCTCTATTGCTAAGCAGATGTGATTTTCGTAATCAGCAGGTCAGATAACATCTACGAGCAAGTTTTCAAAGAAATTCATGTGATTTGTTTTTTTATTCGTTCCCTGAAGCTCGCCGATGGGTTTTGGTCAAAATGTCGATGATCTTGGATTGTAAGGAAACTTCGCTCAAAGAGGTTTTCGAGCACGCTGTTTACGATAATCGTCTTTTGCGCGGGATACAGAGTTTTCTAGCGGAGATATGGTGAGGGAACTTTAGCTAAGCCAAGAAAGTTCGTAGATCCGCCTGCATTTTTCGACCATCTCTTAGAAAATCTGCTTGCTTGCCTCTACAGGTTGAATTCACTAGAAAGTGTGCTTTTTAGCAGCGCATGCTTCTGGCTTCAATCTATAGCAATCGCCGAGTTACGGGCCTACGAAATCACGTTTTCATGAGTTTTGCCCAAAACGTAAAAATCGCCTGCTTCGTAGAAATTCCACCTAAGTGACTGTAAGACACTGTGGTCGCCAATTTTATGTTCAACCGAAAGATCCCTGAGATCTTATTGTATTGGATCTGGCGGTTGTGTGTGCCTGAACCCTTAGGTAAATATCAAAGCTCGTGGCTAGAGCTCAGATCTAATCAGTTACTTCCAGAGTACAGCGAGATAGATTCCTTAAGCGGAGTGAACACAAAATTGGTGACCACAGTGTCTTACAGTCACTTAGGTGAAATTTCTACGAAGCAGGCGATCTTTACATTTTAGGCAAAACTTAGAGGACGTGATTTCGTAGGCCCCTAACTCGGCGATTGCTACAGATTGAAGCCGGATGCATGCACTTAGAGCGCGGCACCTTCAGACTCAGTTCCAGCTGAAGCACTTTCTTCAATTTTATCGTTTTGAAACAAGAGAAGAGTGATAAGTTGAAGGAGAAAATGGTAATGTATAAATAATGATAAATATAAAAGATAGTTAGGTAGTTAGATAGTTTTCCACGTAACCGGTTCCGGGCTAAGAATTAGACCGAGTATTCCTCGGTGCCCCCTCATCAGTAGTTCCCGAGGAAGTGTAACTTATGATACAAATGCTTAGTGAGATACTGGAGTACTACAAGTAGATGAAATTTGTAAACGTAAAAATGGGAAGTCCAAGCATGTAAAAAGAAAGGGAGTTCAATGATTAAGAATGAGTTGTAGAATGTATCGTTTGACAAAACAAGCATTCTCCCGTTCGAGTTTGAATACTTAAAGGAAAGGTTGGCCAAGGTTATCCTTGTGTCACGCTATCTGTTCAGTTTGTCTCTCAGAAAAGACTGTATATAATTCTAATATGAAACAGAAGGTGTTTTTCCCGTACTTCATGTACCAATGGAAGATGTTCAGTTACATGAAAGCCAAACTTACGTAAGATGAAAGGCTTTTCCCTCAACGTCAAACATAAAATTCGATGTAGCATCCCTTCTTCCCATCCATTATGCTATTTCTTGTGTGTAACAATTTATTAGATCAAAACTGATGGTTTTGTCGTTTCTGAGTGATGTTACCATAGGCCTCGTTTCTTCAATTTTAATTTCAGGTGAGCCTATATAAATGAGGCTGATGGGGTTTTGTGACGTAGAAAGCTTTGAAGCGAAATTCAGCATATAACACTTATCGAAAGCGAAGTCACGAGCAAAAATGCCCAATTCCAATTGCTTAAAAATATAGTTGAAAAAGAAATAGAGTATGAAACATTGCCTCAAATCGTCAACGGGCAATGTTAACACACAAAAAATAGCAAACAACTACGAAAAAATCAAAAGAAAGCGTAGGTTTGATTTGCAGGATGGAGAAGCCGCGCTCTACCACAACCAGCGCGGCGAAATTCGAATTCGAATTTGCTCACCTAGCGACTAGTGGGGTGAGGACGACTATACTTTATTAGCATGAATAAATAGTGCTATATCTAGTAGTGCTCCCTCTTTTTGAAACTAGTCCTGGGGACTAAGTATTTGGAGCTAGTTTGGGGTTTAGGAGCTACAATTGAGATAGAGCTTAAGCTAGTTTGATCAGGAAGTGGGAACGGATCTGTGGGATACGTACCGCCCCAAATAAATGATCTCCGAAACCCCGACGCCGACTGTCTGAGATGTCTATCCAGTCCTTATAAGGGGGCCGTAGCCATGTCAAAAAGCAGAATCGAAGAGAGGTATTGTGAAGATTCAAACTCTTGCTTCTTCGTCGTAGCATTTCGGAGGGCTTAGAAGGAAAGGAAGGTTACTCGAAGTGGTCTTTTGAGATGAGATGTATAGTTAGTTCATTTATAAAATCGTGACGACGAATTTTACTGCGGACTTTGCGCCCACAGCAGCATTAAACGCTCATACAAGAAGCCATCAACTCAACGCTTAGCACAGTCACTTCTAGGGTCTAAACATTACACAAAACCATTCGACTAAAAACCAAGAAAATGGGATTTCCGGAAGTGGCGTGCGTGTCGCGCGGTCGCGCCATCGTCACGATTTTTCAAATGCCCTATACACTATCTTGTAGAGCTTGGAATACTGATTCCAAATCTACCTTTGTTATGCTGCGGGCTCTTGGGCGCGGAGTTATGAGGATTTTTGTGAGTAAAAATTCGTAAGCAAGATTAGTACAAAATCAGTCGTAACCTTTTCCTAACGTTCAAGTGAGGCAGCAGCGAGTTGATGTGTTTGAATGAAGAATATTTGTTGCACCGAGTGGCCCGACTACCAGTCAAGCCCAGAAAAATGTCACGACTGTTTTTACACCAATTTTGCATTCACGTTTTTACTAATAGAAACCTTCATAACTCGTCGCTCAGAAGCCCGCAGCAGATGGCGAAGGCAGATTTGGAATCAGCGTTCCAGGCTCTACAGTCGAGTAGATTTTCCGCTTAATATAGTGTGCTTGCACAGTTTATGAAATGCGGTAAAATTTGCGCGTGAACAGGTAGCTACGCCAGCATTGCCGGCATTTTGCGCGCGCAATTGGCCGGCGTCACAGTCGAAGCTATTTCCTCACGAGCAAATTTTACCGCATTTCATAAACTGTGCAAGCACACTATATTAAGCGGAAAATCTACTCGACTGTACAAGATAGTACACATTCCATTTCAAAAGGCCACTTCGACCAACCTTCCTTCCCTTGTTAGTATTTAATAGCCAGTAAGTTGCTCAGTTCATAGAAACTAAGGTATCAGAAACACCGAATTCGAAAGAAGTTATAATAGGAAATTTGTTTGAAATCTGCAAATCGGACAGAACTTTGGCAGCAAGCTAGCAGAAAGTCAGAAACTCTATATCAAGATTTGTTGGTTCCTCTGTAATCAGCTCACATCTGAAAAAAAGCATATCAGTACTACGAAAGCGTTGCCAGAGATCTTCGAACACGATGAGTTTATGGCAAAAAAAGGCCGGATTTGGGAGAAGTTATGCTTGTTTGTCCAGGGTACAAAAACGAAAAAACTTCCGTAGTCTAATAGATTGCTACGTCAAATCACGAACTTTCATTCTGCTCTAAAAGTTGATATTTATATAAATGAGCACCTGAGAGGATTGGGATCATTCTCGGGAATAAGATAATGGCCTGCTTTGAGGTGTACTGACCAAGAGCCAGCTCCATGAAAGACAAAGGTGCGGCTAGCAAAACTGATGTCAAGGATAGAGGAATGAGGAAGTATGCTTGAAATAATATTCTTGAGTTTTCGTGCTAAGAGATTGGATTGATAAAACCTACCTCCACCATTGCGTGTGAATCTGTAATACATCGTACATAACAATTTTGGACATAGAACACAATGAATAAGAAACCAGTTGATTCCTGATCTGGTGGCAACAACACTTCTTGGAGCACCAAGTTCATTCTCAACATTTTGGAGCTAAATGATTTTGAATGGGGGTTTCTTATCTTTGATCCAGATTCTTCAGAACTTTCGTGAGGAAATGATTACCTTTAAGCTATCGTAAGGTGGGGTCTTCATGTTTGGAGACATTGCAATAGTGGTGGCATTTATAAACTCCATTTCGCTTCCGGTCAGCTTAGATTGTTCTGAAAGTATAGAAACTTGTGACCGAATGGAACATATCTCCGTCTAAGAAGGGAATGCAACACAACAGAAAGCTCCACTCCTGAAGCTGCGACGTTCTCAATTTCATGTCGTCAAATTATCTGAGCGTTTCTCCTAAAATTCACTGTAAACCTTCTGAACAGGAGTGCACTGTTGTTTGGACCGCATTTTTTAGTTCTTTGTATAACCTGCTTCGCAGAGGCTCGCACTTATTCTACTTCTACGTGCCTTACTCATTCTTGCATAATATGGCATTGAAACTCACGCGCAGATCCAACTCACAAATAAAATGTAAACAACTAGTTCATTTCGAAAGAATTTCCATGTGAGATCGGTGATTTCGCGTGAATGAGACTTTTCGGAGAGGAATAGATGCAGATTTGGATACATTTCTGGAATTTTTTATGGCTCGGTGGTTGTCATGAGGGCAATAATCGTTGTGACACCTTAGTGGAAAAAAATCCAGGCACCGCCCACCCTAAGTTGAGGGTCTTGAGCTTTTGGTAGCGCACGATAGTAGGGCCCCTATCAAGCTAATGCCCAAGTCGCGGCGCAAAATTTCGCTTCGGAAGCGAGAAAATCGCTGCGAAATAATGAAGATGCACGACGACCCCACACAGCACCGCCCTCCCCATCCATGCCCGCTCATTTGTCGCGCCCATCCAATCCCCGTTTCGGAAAGCCGGCCTGCGAGTTCTCCTGAATGGGGATTGTTGGGGTTTTCGCGGATTCCTCGACTTCATATTCGGAATCAGGGACCAGAAGGCCCCGGAACGATCAAAACATGGAAGTCGAGAATCTGCGTGCACGGTGCCTTTGAGGCCTCTATGATGTATATATATTTTTTGCAGTTTTTCGCACCTACCTCTGGAGCCAACTTTCAAAATCTCAAACACTGATCCTTAGCATCACAGACACTCATTATACACCATCTCGACATGTATCAGAAGAAATGATTGTATTTATGCGACCTAGGTCTTAAAGTGGAGATTTGGTACTGTAGTAGGAGAAGGGATAGACAGTGTGAAATCCAAACTCCGAAGTTTTAGGATATGAAGCATTGTTTTGAGCTGCGTTCCCTTCGCCGGCAGTGATTTATGATTTTCCTTAGGCACTCGTAGCGAAGTATGACGTTGCTCGGAGAGGGGCAAAGAGAGAGGAACAGCAAAAAGCATCAAGCAGTTCCCAAAAAATGTGTACAAGGAATTTTTTGAATCGAAAAAACGTAACCCTTTCACCCGACGGCACGTCATTTTTTTCGCTGGCGAATTGAATATTAGGTCATTTCAAAAGTTCGTTTGCTTTTTTCAAACTGGCACCACATTTGAGGGAATGAAGATTCGAAAACTTGGTAATAATCGATGCAGCATTTCTACTCTTTCTAAAGGTTATAGAATAGTCGCAGCACATTCAATGCTCTCCGAAAATCACCAAAACCTGCGACCCAAGAGAACCAACTTCATTGAGTTGGTCAATCTCCACAATTGCTTTAGACTTGTATACCACTCCTCCGAAGAAGCCAAGTAAGATAGAGCAAACTTATAGGATACAGTACTACTTTGAGGTGCTTCTCAAAATTTTTGCGGGTCGATGATCCCTAAAATCTAGAAGAAGGCGGCGTGGCGGTAGCCACGCCCCCGAAAAAAATTTTTTACAGGGCTAATTTAAATTTCCAAAAGATTTTAAAAATTATTTTAATTATTTACAAGACCAAACAAGTCATTTGCACATTTTTATAATCCGTGTAAGTAAACTTCGATTCAGAGCTTGCAATTTTCAAATGGTACTATGACTTAGCACTAATTTTACAAAGCAAATGAGAGTTTACGGATTCGAAGTACCAAATTTCGAGTTTTTCGAGTACAACCTGCGGCGCGTTCATTCAAAAACATGAGTTAATGATGATATTATCCCCGAACACTAAACAAATCGGAAACAAAAAGCACACAAAAAGAGAAGAGAAAGCTGCATGAAACAGCACCCGAGCTGCTCTTCCTTTGATGTTCTACGTGGTGTTAGTCGACCAAGTATGAAAATTGGTTGCATTAGTGAAAATCAATTAAAAAATTATGACCTCTAGAAAAGAGAAAACTTGTTTGCATGTAGGGTTTGCTCTATAGATACGTTACTTGGACTCAGAGGGATATGGTAAAAATTCAAAAAAATTGTGAAACTCAACCATCTAAGAAGCATGAGTCGCAAATTTTGGTTATTTTCCGGGAGCTCATTGACTATGCTGCAACGGTTTCATAACAGTAAGAAAGAAAACGAAATACGCATTGAATCTACCCAGATCTCTTGATACCTTTATTGTATCAAATGTGGCGCCCGTTTGAAAACGAACGAACTTTTGAAATGACCTAATACCTCGTGACAGTGGAAGCGAATGAGAACTGAGTCCCAAAACTGTTGGTTTATGCTTGTCTTTCTATTGAAATATAATCGTTATCGATTTTCCTTCGCAGTGCTTTGGATTGTATTAGGTTGTTCCAAAAGTAAACTCTGTTTTTTTTTGATAATTTAAGCTGTTTTTGTTTTCGTAGTATACTTAGGGTAACATTCGATAGAGCAGATCAAGCTCTACAAAAAGAGCACCAAGGATCCGTCTAAGTCGCATTCCGTGTAAAGTTTGAAGCCAAAATTAAAATAAAATAAAAATTGAAAAAAATTTTGTCACTTGAAAACTGGATTTTTGCGAAGAAAAACCCTACGGATCTCCAACTTAGTCATTATGCAGTAGGTACGAAGTAGTACTCAAATATGCCTTTACTGGATTTTTTCCGCGCATAGAAAGCGACAAAAATACGATAGTCCAAAATGGCAAACTCCGCCCCCAGCTCTCCCCACATAAGTCATTGTGTACTACAGCCTTACTAACATGGGAATTTTCAGAAGTTGAAGTGGCCAGACCAAACATGCTGTATATCATTCGATGCAGTATAAAACGCTGACTTCGAATTCTGTCTTCCTTATCTGCTTCCCGCTTCTGTGGACGAAGTACAAGCGGTTTTATTGAAAAAAAAATCATACATAAAAATAGCGAAATTGAGCACATTGTTGCACTTTTAGCTCGGCTTCTGGCTTCAAAAATTTTAAGTAAGCTAGCTGCATGTTTTGGCCCAGCACTGAGGCGAACGAGGCTCTGTACGGCTAAATTTTCAATTTCACGCATAATTTCTAAGCAAAATAATGGTCTTTGATGGCTTATAACTTCGTCCAGAAAAGCGATAAGCAGATAAAGAAGACAGATTTAGAGTCAGCGCTTCATGCTGCATCTAACGCTACGCAGCTTGTCTGGAATGGCCACTTCGATTTCTGACCATTCCCTTATAAGTATACACTTGAGATTTCACCCCTGCATGTGCTCTTATATCAGAGAAATAACAAGTTTTACATTTAAAAAACCGAAATAGTGGCATTTTGGCATTTTTGGACCATATTTGTTTCTCAATTTGAGCCCAGGAAAAAATCCACCAAATATTTTCTGGGTATCACTATGTGTCTATTTCATAAAGACAGTTGGAAGTCCGTAGGAATTCTCTGGAAGGAGACTCGATTTTCAGGGTAGCTGAAAGACTTTGTTTGGCTCCAAATTTTACGACTTATTGTTAGATGCATCTTTGGTAGCCTTTCCTTTAGAGCTTGCTCCGCTCTATCGAATGGTATCCTAAGTCTGTCAGAAAAACAAAAACAGCTCAAGTCATTTGAAAATGGAGCTTAGGCAGGTGCTATACTCCTCGAGGAGTATAGCATGGCGACGGGCGATCGCCAGTCGTAGCGACTGGCGATCGCCCGTCGTAGCGACTGGCGATCGCCCGTCGCTAATCGATACGTATCAAACGTGTAGTCGCCGATATTGGCGATCATTAATCATTTCCCACTTCCATTTTGAAGTACTCACCAGCCGGTAAGGTCGCCTTAAAAAGAATGAATTGTAAGACCAGTTTTTCACATCCAACACTCAATGGTAACTTGTTTGGCGACTGGCGATCGCCAATATCGGCGACAAAAATCGCTGGTTTTGCACGTATTTGATGCATATCGATTGTCGCCATGCTATACTCCTCGAGGAGTATAGCACCTGCCTTACTTTCGTGACAACCTAATAAAATGCTGTCAACACCTACTTTATATGTTAACGTTTCTTTGAGTTTGATAATGAGCGCGCCGCTTCAAATCTTGTTAAAGAGGCTGCTCTCGCTTCTTTGGTTTGCAGGCAACAAAACCGAAATTCTGAGTTTTTTATCTATTTGTGTTAGAAGCATGTCTGTGCAAGGGAGAAGCACTATTTTGACCTGCACCTACTCTGATAATTCGGTGTTTTAATATGCGTTCATTGCTATGAAAGCTGCCAATTCAGATAGAGAGCGAGCAATGCTTTCCAAAAATAGCTAACCTGCAGAATCCTGATCAGCCTTGCGTGTATACTTCATGATGAGATGTTTTGCAACATCGCTTTTCTTCTCCAACCATCCCGGTATTTCTTCTACTCGTTTTTCTACAGCAGCTTTCGCCGGTGCAGGTTGAGTCGCACGCTGACGTCCACGATGAGTCGCAGTTGTAGACATTTTCGACGAAAAGGATTGATGACCGGATATTCGAACCGAAAGCCGATGATACTCGTGCTTGAATGATTCTTATGCTCCAACGTTTCTACTTTTATCCCGCATCCAGCATGATTTTGCAAGTGAAAACATGAACCAGGAAGCTTGAACGTTTTATTCTTTACAACTGAAAATTTTGAATTTGTAATTAATCCGAAATGGAAGGAAATATGAAACAGCGCAGGAAGTTATCCCTACAACCGACTAACGCAAGGCCTTTCTCCTTCAAATACACTACAGAAGAAAATACATGACCTCCACCAAGACGAAAAGCGCGGGCACAATTGCCACCCTCGTCGTAAATAATCAGAGATCCATATGATGAAACGATACAAACGGTACGAACGTCCATGCGCATAGGCGGGACAACAAATCTATGAGATTCGAACCGAAAATGACGAAGTATGTTCAGCATTGAATCTGCTACGAAAAGTGATCCACGCTCGGTTACAATGTAGATGAGATCGTTCAAAAATCTGACTTCAGAGAAAACAGGTTCATGAATATTCACAGCGAGCTCCTAGAAAATTCCATTTGTTACGATTATTCATTCCCAGAAACCCACTTACTTTTTCACCGTTGTCCAACCCAATTTTCATAACTGTGCCATCAACTGAGCCTACAAATCCCGATGTACCGTAAGGTGAGACAGCGGAAAACACAGGAGCATTCGCTTCAAACGTCCAGACATGCACTCCTTCGTTCTGGAATGATAAAAGCAGATCACGCGATCCTGACAATCCATAGTTATCATGATGATCAAATCATATTACAGACAAAGGTTGGTCTTACAAATGAAGCTGTATCATCGGCTCCCAGATTCTGGAGGGCGGTTTCGGACTTCGCTGATTTTTATGATAAACTTGTCAAAGCACGTCATAGCATTGTATTTCGTACTCTCTCCTTAAGCTTATAACTTAAAATCAGGGAAGTCCGCAACCCGCCTTCACACGAAATTGGGAGCCGAGCATAAATTTGTCTGTCTTATTCAAGTCTGCATGTCTAGACGTAGCTTTGAGTTCTACATGGGAAAATCCAAAGGTGGCGGTTCCAGGATTTCCGTCCGGAGGATGAGAGGAGGGGGGGGGGGTTCAAATGAAGGTGTGTGGCGTTAGCATGCACGGAAAAATTTTTGTGGTGCTTTTCAAAATTTTCGCGAGCCCATAACCTCTAAAACCTAAAAAAGGCGTAGCTCGCCACGCTCCCGGAAAAATTTTATTTACAAGGCTTTTAAAAATTATTTTAATTATTAACAGAACAAAAGTCACTTGTACATTTCTATAACCCATGTAAGTCTCAAGAATTTCGCAACCCATTCTCGTGGGCTCCGCCCCCCCCCCCCCTCCCATCGGTCCGCCACTAAAATAAACAGTCTATCAATTTTGCACACAAACATGTTAATAAGGTCGATTGTTGCAGGTGCTGATTAAATTTGTTCTGGCAAAGATGAAAACTCAATGCGACGATTAAGTGAGCATAGACTAAGAGTATTTCACAAAAAAACAGGATATCCTTTTTGCAAATTCTAAGATTGTGCGTGATGAAGTGGATTTAGAAATTTATTTATTTTTTTAGGCAAGCCGCTAGTTCTCTTTGATCACAACTAAAATTACTTGCTAGAAATTTAAAGACGTTTCATAATTTCTAGCGAAAGATTCTACCCAAAAAAGTATCTGTAATCTTGCAAGCGAGCTATGTTCAGTTCACAAGTAAATCTCACTGACTGTAGGCAGATAAAGAATATTTGTGTGCAAGTCTAGTTGTACCCCAGAAAACAACTATTTGCGAAAGAGTGTAACTTGATCATTGTGCCCTTAACCCTCCCGCTCAAAGCAAAGTCATGTTTGTAATTATAGTTGGAATCGAATATTCGTATTCGAATAATTTATTCGAAATTTTCGACTATTCGAAATTCGAACAATCAAATATTCGAAAAAAAAAGGTCCAATTAATCGATTATTCGAATAGTCAATCAGTGGCGGTCCGTGGGGGATGGGGGGGGGGCGCCCCCCCCCCCAGAATGGTTCGCGTTATAAAATGTGCAAACGACTTGTTTATTTTTGTAATTAATTAAAATAATTTTTAAAATTTTTTAAAAATTCAAATTGGCCTTATAAAAAAATTTTTCGGGGCGTGGCTAACGCCACACCCCCTTTTCCAGATTTTTGGGGTTGTGGACCCGCAAAAATTTTGAGAAGTACCCCAAAAATTTTTTCGGAAGACGCCACGCACCTTCGTTTGAAAAAATTTTTGCCGCGCCCCGAAATCCTGGGACCGCCACTGTAGTCAATGTATACAAAAGGCCTTACTCAAACAATTCGTTCATTCAACGACTCGGAAAAATGTCTTGTTCGAAAATTCAAATATTCGAGGAATTTTAAAAGAATTATTCGAATATTCATATTAACATTCGAATATCGAGAAGTTTCTGAAAACAGTTGTTCGAATATTCGAATAATCAAATACTGCATTTAAACATTCGAATATTACATTCGACCAGATATTACATTCAAGTATTCGATGATATTTAGTTATTCGTTTATTCGAATAGTCGAATATTCGATCAAGTTTGGTTATTCGAATATTCGAAAGCTTGGAATGTGCCCATATTCGAATATTCGAAATCGAATAATAAAAAAAATCGAAAATCTAATAATATTCGTTCATTCACTTTTTGAAATTCAATGATTTATTCATTCGTTCAAAAAATTTTCAAAAGTTTACTATTGGATAGTCGTTCATTCGATGAGTATTTCCGTTTGTTACAACGAAGTGGGGGAGAAAACAGAGAAAATGTTCCATTCCGTGTGTAGCAGGGAGAATGTTCCGTTTGGAGCGGTAGTGACCCTCCGCTAACTCCCAGTAAACAATCATGGTTTCGCTCTCAACTAGCTTGCTAACAAGTTGTAAGTTCTCCAAACTCGAGCAGATGCGGACAGAAATGAATTCAGGAGTTCGCTTGAAAGGAGGTGAGATGCCTAGTGTATATATACCACTACTCCAAACTCTTCTTTTATTGTTAGATATTGAGACCAAATCAAGAATGAAAACTGTAGTTACCTGCAAGTTCTCGCATAGGCTTAGGCTTAGGCTTAAGAATGATAGAATAGAAAGGAAGGAATGATAAGGAATGATAGATATTGTAGTACATGCAAGTTAGTTTGATAAAATGAAAAGGTAAGCCAAAATTGATATGCAGGTGCACGAAGATGGCTTTTCAAGAGCAGCATCATCTTGAGATGTAGACATGAACGAAATTAAGACAAGGGTGAGAAAAAGGATAGCAAAGATCACTGCGCTTCTCGTCGATGTGCCAGAAGTATTCAAAAATTTTTGGGTGTAAAACTGTAAATGTGTCTCACAATATCAATTGCCTCCACGCTGCCCTTTATAGTCGTGACTATGACGGTTCTCTCCAACAGAAGAGGACATGCAGGCGAACCACTTTGGATCAAGCACGACCAGACACACTTTCTACTCTGCAAATTGATTTTGATGAATGGAACTCATCAAAACTCAAGCCTACTCTCGAATCAAGTTTGTAGAGTTTTCGGTCGTATGCTGGAACATAAACACATCCCATATTATCAGTAGCACATGCAGCTTTTATAACATCAGTGCACTCATAATGCCACTCAAGATTACCATTGAGCATTGACAGAAAATACACATTCCCGTCATATCCTCCTAAATGAAAATATCATCAGAGTCTACTTTATTTATGCTTCTCTTGCTGTCAGGCAATCAATCAGGCAAGAAACATCCGCAGAAAAATTCAAAGAATGTGTCCCAACAGAATTCTGATCGAAAATTTACAAGCATGGGCATTATTTCTAGCTGCAAAAAAACCTCTATTAAATGTCATTTGAGTCTAGATTTTTGCTATTCACAAATCTTTCAAAAACTCTGCTTGAATCAGTGTCCAAGCTTGCAAAAAATGTTACAGTGGTTTTTGCGTAGGATACGAGAGATGGTGTCAGTCAACCGCAAGCTGCTCGACATCTCGACATTGGATGCACGCCTGCGAACACTTTACCCATCGAATGTGAAAATGGCTAAAGAAATATGTGTTGTCCATTCATCATCCCCTTCTCCGGAATATTCCAAAATCGACTTCTCGACCTTTTCAGCTAACACAAAAGCAGCGCCTTGGCAAAAACGACTTTTGCCAGATTTTGTTGATGCAAAAAATAAACCTTCCAAGTGCATCATTGTAAGACCGTGCTTCAAATCTCCATCAACCACACCCACTCACCGGAAATGAGCATTAAGAGAAAATTTGAAGCATGCTTTCGAGTTTAGCGCATAGACGGAAGGTAGGATTTCGCTATTAAGTATTTATTTGAAGAGTCTACTATCTAATTGCGAAACAACCCCTAAGAGTTATGTAGCATTTTAAACATCAGGAGTGCATCAATACTCCGACGTAATCAATTGCTACTATACTACTACAGAACATGTTTCAAGCACGTTGAGTCGCATAAAAATGTGAAATTTCCGCGTATCATTTTCTCACATACCTAAAACAAAATATTCTCCAGATCTTGCCACAGATGCTTCAAATCGAGTGGTGATTTGAGTCTAAACTGCGATAACGAACAGGATGAGATGACCAGCCTCATCTTCTCACCTTCCATAAACAACGACCGTCACGGACCCGGACACATACAACGAGACCAGAATGCGAGCAGGCAGCCACCACGTCCTCACCGCACAATCTACACGATATGCTACAGAATGAATGAGAAAACTATCGCAACAATTATGTTGCTGAAACAACAAAGGAAAAAATAACTAATCAGCGTAATCTAGCATAGGTGACACTTACTGGGTCAGCAATGGGGTTCCGTCGATGCACTTTTTCATGTCGAAAGCCCAACTTACGTTGGGTTGTTCTACTACTCTCAGTGGAATATTGACGACAGCAACCGTTGAAATGAGGTTTTCATCTAAAAAAATAAGGAATTACTAAAGGAAATAAAAGTGAACGGGGGACGAGTGGCGTAATGGTATGAGACGCCACTATGAACAGTTGAATCAAAGTTCGGTCCTACCCCTGGGCCAACCAAGTCCTCTAAACTCGGAGACAGTAGATTTAGCAAAGTAATCTCGTAGAATGAAAGCACTGACTTGGTAGCCGGCTGGCCCCACAAGTCAAAAAGGCCTGCACGCATTCGCTAACCTCTTTGACTAATTAGACCCATAGAGGGTATTGACAACGAATTTTATCCTGTATTTATACCTAGACTGAAAAGCCTACAAAAAAGTTCACATTAAAATTACATAGGATTTTTTGTCTACACTACTCGACTGTGAACAGCGAGTCTCGCAAGCGTTTTTATAGCAGATATGACCACATAGTAGCTAAGAAGCCCAGTCTCATAAACAATTTCAGGGAGTAGAGACATCGACTTTTTCGACTCGAAAGATTAATTATATCCAAGCTAGAAAGATTTTAGACTTTCATACATCAAAATATAGGATCTGCCGACCCTCTGAAACACATGCAAAAAAAACGCCAAATATTTTCAAAGGCGATGTCATAATTGTTGCTTCAAAAATTCAGCGAGCAGAACACATCTGAAGGACAATTTTGCTCGGTTCAATTGAGCGTAATTGGTTGTCCCCTATGTATTTATTTATGTTTCCGTAATCTCAAGCATTTCCACCTAAAACTTACTAAGCTTACGTCAAACTCACCAATAGTCTTTGTGGCGGAAGATCCATATTTATGAAGAACCTCCGATATGCTCATATCAGAATTTAAGATGTCATGCAACGCATCAGCGTTCCTTAAATGTAAGGCTATTTCGGCGGCTTCGAGGGAACGGATGCCGGAAAACGGGTGTTCTCCAAATATACTTTACGAAACTTCACGGTCAAAACCTTACCATAATCAGTGAACGAGTGATTCGAGAGATCACTATCAACCTTGATACCAAATTTACTCAGAAAAGCTAAAAGGGAAGTGCTAGTTTTCATAGCTTTGGAACATTGTTCCTCCAAAATTTCCAACAGCTTTGAGCAGTCTACTTTGCCTAAATGATAAGCATAAACAGGATCATGTGATTAGAAGAGGCCCAAACCATTTCGATTGACGGGCACTATATCCAGGTAGACGATCTTTGACGGAAAAAGTCCAGCCGGAATAAGGACTCTCAGAGCATCTTCTATGGGAACATCGGCTTTGACAAAAAGGACCAAAAACTTTTCCTTGTAAATGCTAGCGCGAGCGAATGTGACATGACTAAGTGACTGGACCGATTCCGATATGGCAGATAGATTACAACGAACTCCGTTGAGTTTCACCTAGAATTACAAAGTAATAGTATGAATGCTCCAGCGGTTGATGATAAGCACAGTATCCGAGCACAAATTTCTTACTTGCTCATCTGTCCTCCCAACTATATCAAGCCCACCGTTCACCATCTGCACTATGTCTCCAGTAGCCGTGAAACCCACGTTCCACATACCATTCACGCAACACCGTCGTGATCCGCCTTGAAGCTAGAGGTAAGTCAGAACGACGAATGTTCAGGGAGCAGCGATCGGCAAACACTGCCAAAAAAAGATGTACTCAAGTTTTACATTTTTTTTTGCAGTTCACCCACTACCATGATTAGAAGAGAGTATAAGGTAAGGTTTCATAGCAGCCTCGGCTGTAGAGTTCGAAAACAGTGGCTCAGAGGCTACTGATATGACAGTTTGTGCTACTAAACTCAAAGGTTAAATTTTGGAGTCTCTCTGATGATCATGATAATTTGTTCATATTCGTCATGGGAGAGCAAAGTGGTAACAAACTCTTGGTGAAAAGAGAAGTTTGAATGAAACTGCCGTCCACTAAGACAAAACGTCAAATCTCAATTCCGTTGTACCAGATCGCAATCCTCATTGAAACGGACTCAAAAAGAGGAAAATTTCAATCATAATCTTTACCGAACGAGCCCCATTCTTTTGCTAAATGACCCCTACTCGAAGAGATACTTTTTGCATTCACAAAAACACGTTTGAGCCAAGCAAATAAAAAACAAAAAATAGACTGAAAAACACTTGTGAGGCTTATATTATTGAAAAACATACCTAGCAAAAGTTCGTTTTCTTCGGTGAGAGTAAATGTGGTGGACTTCAAAGGAGACCCGATTGTCACATTGTTAAAGCTGAAGATTTGGGAACATGTGATAGATAATGACAGCGAACATACACAAACAATAGAAGAGTTTGAGCAACGGACTCGAATAACGAACCTGTGAGGAATTTCTGCAATACTAGCCCAACAAGAAACTTCCGTCACACCATAAACATTGAAGACCTTTGTTAGATTGGAAGGCGATCGGAAACGCTTGACCAACTTCGAGGGAAACTTCTCCCCTCCTAAAACTGAGAAAATAGACTTTTCAGGCCGTGTCAGTCTTAAATCAGCTAAGTAAGTTCTAGAGGAAATGTCATAAATTGATTTGGCTGGACTTCTGCACGAAAATACATGTCGCGCCCAAGATCAAGCTCACTCGTAGCCAAAACTGGAAAGGCCAAATTTGACACACCTATCCCATCCTTAGCGCGACCCCGCAAGGAAGCCCTTTCTTGAAATGACTAGTTTTTACAAACCGGCATATCACATCCCTTCGAATGCACAGGCCATCAGAATTTAGCGGTGAAGTTTCAGCGCGATATAGTAATTTTTCAATTCAGTGACTGCCCAAAGCTCGCTGCGAAAGAATACTCAAAAAGAGGAGAAGCTTCAGAAGGCAAATGCGACTAGGGCAGTTCCGTACATCAATGTGAATGATCCAGAGGTGCTGAATCCGAAAGTGATCTTAGAATTAATTCGAATGGTTGAAATCTTATAATAGAAAGTAGATTTTCAACATTTTAACTCTAAGACCCATACCAGATGACCTACGTTTCCTGGCAAAACTGTCTCCGCCGTATCCTCTCAAAGCAATTTACTCACTTTGGAAGTGATTTCTCTTAGCGAGACCTCGACAGCCAATCAACTGGGTCCACCAATGCATCGACCAAAACTTCAGCACCAATTGTATGGTGTTTTTGAACAAAATATATTTGGGTAAGATTTGAGTCTATGAATTCTCAACTTATACATCGGAGCATCGCTTAAGGGCAGCATCCAGGCAGATCTGGACCTATGGGGCTTTTACGTGGAAAACACTTTTGCGGCCCTAACTAAGGCACTGCCCTAGCGGCAGCTCAGGTAGTGCTCTAATGGCTGCGATATTCCCCTCGAAACTGGACCCCGCGACCGTGTTTCGCATGAATTCATGACAGTTTCGCGCCAGGATCCACGCTTTCCGCCATGAATCCATGCGAAGCACGGTCGCGGGGTCTAGTTTCGAGGGGAATATCTCAGCCATTACAGCACTACCTGAGCTGCCGCTTGGGCAGTGCCGTAGTTAGGGCCCCAAAAGTACTTTCCACGTAAAAGCCCCGTGGGTCCAGATCTGCCTGGACGCTGCCTTCAATCATAGAAAAGAGGATGGTTGACTAAATAAAACAAACCAAGAAGAAGACATCGAATAGGCGAGGAACTTCCAAAAATCCATGCAAGTGTGTTCTCATCCAAAAGCGATAACACAGAAGGCGTTAACTGAAAGAAAAGCTGCATTAATGTTAAAGTGTTATTTCGTCACCTGGCAATATAACCTGGACAATGGTAGGCTTGTACCGCCGTAGAACACTTGAAAATAGATGTGGTTGTGAACGAACATGATCCGGTACGAGCAGAAGATCAGCCCCACTAAAAATATGTCGGATTATCAGTGGGCGCTAGAAGCCATATGCAGGAAGATATCTATCTATAGAGAAAGCAAAGCTGGTGCTGTAGCGTTAGAACACAGATACGGTGTTGGTGACGCGCACCTGGATGTGCTTCACCTTTTTCCTACGAGAAAGTTTCTCTCTATGAAGATTTCATGCATACGCTTTCGAAAAGCAGACATTGCACTTCACTTACGTTGTAAATGGCAAAAACAGCTCGATGATGGATGGGTCGAAGCAAAATGACGTAGCACATAGTATTACATCTTGGGATGTTATATGGAATCTTTCCCTGAAAAGAGCAAAGATGCGTTCAACCCAGTATAGCGCTTTATAAGAAAGATCACTTTGCATTAAAATTAACAAAAACCTGAGAAAAAACAAAACATCAAGAATTATTTTCAGATGCAAAGGATCAGACCGACTGAAGCGGAAACTGTTTTTCACACCTGAAGTCATCTACGTTCGGCTCTATACAGGAAAATGGTACAGCAACTAATTTTGCTTCTCCCGTAGTTCCAGAAGTCCTGATAGTGAAGCAAAGATCTTCACATCTTCCGTCATCAGATTCTGATGTTTTATTTTCAAGGGAAGAGATCTTGTAGAGCTGGAAAAAATTTATTTGGAGAAACCAGCCCACTATTCACTAACCTGCTTTTCATCATAGAGCCATTGAGCTCCATATAGAAGAGGACCATCTCTCGAGTTAATTATTGTAAAAGGCGTGTGTAGCTCGACAAGCCTAAATCGGCATCAAGCTGACATGGGTAATTCTGAAAAAGTCACTGAGCATAAATTGAAAAAAACTCACGCTGCAACCGCACACACCAGCTCTGATGAACGCTGCATATGCAAAGCAATGACTTCCCCAAGGCATTCCCGAAACAGACATTTGAAATGTTCGATCCTCTCACGAACAAAGTGCGGAGAAAGAAATCTTTCTTCACCATAGCAGAGGTCGTGAATGGAGAAGGGCACAACGATCATGACATCTTATCGGATTCTGAAAAATCATAGTTTGTTTGACCCCAAGTTCCATCTGAAATGGACGGCACTTTCCCACACTTCAAAGGATTTACTTGGCGCCCTAATCGCGGATATCAAGCGTTGCAGTGCCATTAGCGGTGAAGGGATTGAAGAAATCTGAGCTTTTGAGCGAACTTGGAAGGTGCCTATATAACAATCTTTTTTTTTGCGCGAAAGGTAAGTGACATATCGCAAGCTCGCGATTTTGCTAAAAAGGCCTTTGCGTAGTTATGATACCTTAATTCAACCAGCATGCTTTAACTCCTCCTCTAGACAAGGCTTTCGTGCGGGTTTAATCCAGTACCCTGTGATCCCAAAAAACAGAGCCACCAGGCAAAACCAACGTGATATTCAAAGCCACCCAGTAGCTGAAGACTTCGTTTAGTAACAGGAAAGCAGGACAGCAACACTTCTCTGGAAAACTTGTTTGCTCCTGCTCTTTGCACCGGAATTCAAACTGTAGTGTGGTCGCAAACACCTGATATCACGCCTAGATTTTGTGCGCAGAGTAGTAAGGCAGGCGCCATACTTGATCCGCTTGATCCGCTTGATCCACTTCATCCAGTTCACAATTGATTATTTCACTGAATTGACCAATGATGAAGCGGATCAAGTGGATCAAGTGGATCAAGCAGACCAAGTATGGCGCTTGCCTAAGGTAGGTGCCAGAGTAAGCGAATATTTTGTTCAGATTGGGGTCCCGCGCAGAATTGACATCTCTCACCATGCTGGCGCCAATCCAAGTGACGTCATTTCTGCGCGGGACCCCAACCTGGACAAAATATTTGCTTTCTCTGGCACCTATCAAATAGGCACGCGCCGTACTTGATCCGCTTGGTCAACTTCATCCACTTCGCTCTAGGTCAAATTAGCAAACTCACCAGTAGCGAAGTGGATGAAGCGGATCAAGTGGATCAAGCGGATCAAGTATGGCGCTTGCCGTACGGCGAGGTGAAGGCATCGACCATAGTATTCCTGTGATTCCTGCAATTTCTCGATCCCTCTGACCCTGTGCGTCTCGCAACAATGTATAGTGCGAAAAAACAAAGTGTACTGATATTCGCGAAGCGCTCCATAGTGCGGCACATCGGAAGTGGAGGGATCACAATAATTGCAGGAACCACCTCCTGGAGTAGTATGGCCGGTCCCCAACGTTGCATATCTGCCAGGCGACGAACTTATGCCCTTGCGAGGTTATTGTTGAGCGGTTAGAGAAATGAGAATGCGTTGAGGCCTCGGGCAGAGTTCATGCGATTTCATCGTCGCGATTCATCGCGACAAGACAAATGTTACGAGCTGCATGCCGGTCTTCTTGTATTTCGTTGTGATAGTTAGTCACACTTGGTCGTGCTGAAAAACTATCACAACCGAATTGCAAGCAATGATATTGTTACAGTTGGCTTGTCGCGAAAATCGCGACATGAAATCGCCTGAACTCTACCCGAGGCCTGTTGAGAGACACCAAAAGCGTTCGCAGTAACGTCCTGTATTTGTGTGCGATAAGTCGGCGATACAATTTTTGTGGCCAAAATGTCCATGAAAGGGGAGGCTAGTTTGCATCAAATCTGGCGGACTTTTTGCAGCTAATGCAAGCAGGGACGAAAATACGATGAACATGCAAATGAGAGAGTCAGAAGTGCATAACGGTAACACTTCCATCCATGCTGTATCGTGGTTACAGATTGCATGTTTGATGTTTACAGGGTCAAATATGTGTGGTTGCAGAGGTTCGTCCAAATAACGTTTCCATTGACTTTAACGTTGTGAACTGGCATATTCTTAATTTTCGTATTTTACATGGCCACCAGGTACATTGGCCTTATCTATGTACTCGGCGTGCAGGCTGAAGAACAACGGTGTGTGCGATCGGAGAATCACGGCGCGTCGTCAACGCTCGTTTGTTTCGCTCACGTAGCAACATTGTTTGATTTTCATTTTCCACGTTGATGCGCGTGATACACTAGCACGGTCGTTTTCAATTCAGTGCCATCTCTTGAATTGCTACATTGTGAGCGATTGCTGAAGCATGAGGATTAGTTTCATTTTACAGCTTTACTTCACTTTCAGCTTATCCAAACTATCCTCAACTTTGTTTCGTATTCAGGGTATGGCTACCGTACTCCCGGTGTTATACTCTTTCGTTAAGAACTTGATGGGAGCGTTCAACCAGGCTGAGTTTGATAAGGAAGTCGCACGCGATTTTGACACGCAAGAAATCGCATCTGCTACTGCACGTTATGAGAAAGAAGCGGAGACGTTGTTGAAGGATGTAAGGACCATAATTTTTATCAAGATCAGTTTGCTACTTTTTTCTTTAGAAAGCAGAGGTCAAAAAGGTCATTGGATACATAGATCTGACTACATTGGCCGGTGACGATACCAGAGGAAGAGTAGTAGCCCTTGTGGATCGTGCGCTAAATCCTATACCTGAGGCGAGCTTTATTCTAAGAATTTTGATATAATAGACCGTACTATCGTTGACTTTGATTCCGTCAATTTCAATGCAGTCGGTGTCATGACACAACTTTTTGAATTCTTCATGGCAAGGAGAAATTTTTCATATTTTCCACATTCGTTTCATATCTTTTTTCCTTTACATTACTGCCATGCATGCCTTTCAATTTTCTGAAGCTCTTTGGTATGAAGCGTTGCTCTCTGTGAACTGCAAACAGAACCCAGTAACTTTTATTTTGCTCGTTCTCTGTGGTCATGCACAAACGTGCTATCATTCAAAACCGCTTTCAACCAAATCCACACGAGAACGGCTTTAATCGCAGACCTGTTTTGGACATAAAGAAGTGGTCTCTTCGCATAGCCAAATAAATAGTAGATCGGAAAGTCTTTAATTGCACGATCAATCGAAAATGTGGGAACTAGAGCTTATTAGCATTGTAACAAAAAATGACAACAACTGTAATCTATATTACATCCGCTAAAAATTTATTTTTTATTTTGCTTCGTATGTCTAAAGGTCGAAAAATGCTGTATAGCCTCACCACCATGATTTCCCCATGTCCTAACATGTTATAAACGAACATGTCGTCGTTACTGTGGCCTAGAAGAACATTTCAAAAATTTAATGATCGGAATAAGTTCTTTTACTTCATGTATGTTCTGTCATGCTAAGTGCGACTTATCAAATTTGTGAGTTAAAATGATGAAATAAGAGTTTACAGCTCAATAAAACTCTTAGATTTACGTACTAGCATGGTTGTTTCTTTTTCACTTTTTTGTTATTTTAGATGTGGTTACCATTCATATGCGCTTGTAAATTCGACTTTTTCGTAATTTCCTTCTCAGAGGCATATTTTAGGACTCCTCCGTCACTTGTGGAGCCGTATGCGTTTATCCACAGCGTGTGGCCGACGCGGTCAAACATCTTGCCGAAAAGAAGAAATCGCTCAGTGTAGCATCAGGTGTCAAGTTTTTGTCTCTTCCTACTGCACTTCTTCGCCCTGTGTACGTGCATGGATGGATAATAGATTATCTGTGCATTATTCAATCGTTTACTATAGTTGCTGCTGGATTCCCATCTGGACAATACCATCTGCAGTCGAAAATACTAGAGGTTCAATTGACGGTCGCCGATGGTGCTAATGAGATCGATATTGTCATCAGTCGTGCTGCTGCATTAGAAGATGATTGGAAAAGTACGCGACATTTTAATTTTTTTCTTGGTTTTTCAGATTAGATGGATTTGAGGGCGAATTCATTCTTCTCTGTCCATACATTCATTCAGTCATTTGGCGGCTTTTGCCGGAATATGGACCGAAACATTAACGAATTCGTTCTCAACTGCATTTTCATGAGGTTTTGACCTTCAAAGTTGCTGTTCTGAACCGATTCCAAGGTATTAAGATTGAGCAACCCATACAACAATCTGATACATCTGCTTTTGAAACTAAAATACTTACAGAAAGTCATAAAACACTTATTATGTGCTATTTGGTGTCCATCTGGCAATAAAAATTGCGCCTCTTGACATACACCCTAGATGACACTGATCTCAAGGCAGGCTTCAGACCGCGCTTGAACCCCCTGTGTGCGCCGATCATAACTCATGACTGGATTGCAACACTCTCATTGTTTCACGTGTATTCCAAGATGTCAGTCTAGGCATGTCTCTTTGGTCCTGAAAATCCTCATTTCAAACTTTGGATGGGTTCAGGCGGTCACCGGCGGACGGCGGGTACGGGCGCGTCCGAGCGCGGTCTGAAGCCTGTCTAATCATTTTTGTGTGAAGCTACTATTCAGAAAGGTCCATGGATGATTGTGAATCAAAATCTATGCCTTAGGAAGTAGTAAATTCTGATCCATTCCACAGTCAATCACAATTCATCACACCTTGTGCTCGGAAACTTGCACTTACGCCGAATTGATTGATGGATATGAATAACCGTGTATGGTCCATCACTAGCATTATTGATGTGCACAGTGAGATGAGTTACTTTTTGAGAAAGACGAACAAAAAAAAACGAAATTCTTGTAAATGATGTACCCTCGATATCATCCCATATGTCTTCCCTCAACATGACGTGGATTACGTGAAATGCTGAGGCGCCGCCTCGCTTCGAGCTTGCACCACGTTGTGGGCGCCCGTTTGGCGTGACGTGGCGCTTAAAACAACGTGGCGCAAGCTTTCCGACTTTGCTTTTGTTGCGCATCACGCGAAAGATGCGCACGCAACGTGGCGCAAGCTCAAAGCGAGGCGACGCTTCACCAATCCATGTAATCCACGTCATAATGAGGGAAGACATTTGTGTTGATATCGAGGGTATCTGCTCCTCAGAAATGTTCCCATAGGTACCACGTCATCTTGCTGCTTTCGCTTTTTTAACGTGTTAACTTCAGCAAAATAAAGGCATTATTGTAAAGTTAACGTGTCAAAACACTCGAAAGGCAATGAGCTGATGTGGTACCTATGGAAACATTCCTGGAATACAAACCACACCTAGTTGTTGACATCATTTGCTGTGTTCGTAGTCTTCTGTGATTGCTCAATGCAGAACACCAAATACTGGAAACCTCAAAAAAAACCAGATGAAGCCTTCATGTCATAACCATGCATGTGTGCAAGACATATCCTTTGCTTCAACCAGATCGTCGGCTGGAAGGCGGGGCTCAGTGACCTAATTTAGGCAAGAAAATGATCAGAGAGCATGTTCGCGAGGGAGTCGCAAAGCGTTGCGGATGCGAGCAGTCGCGTCCTGGTCATGAAGTCCCGCCTTCTAGCCACCGATCTGGTTGAAGCAAGGGGTACCCCTATACATGCATGGATTATCTCTGGATATGAATTTATGTAAAGTTCCAGAGAATTTGAAGATTAATTTATCAGAACATGTTTAGCCGTGTACAACGAGGTGGCCGCCTTGAAAGGTGCATGTGGGAATGCTCATATGAAAACGATATTGGCGACAGGAGAACTGAAAACGCTTGCCAATGTTTATAAAGCTAGTTGGGCTAGCATTTTAGCTGGTAAGGATGTTGCCTACTTTTAGCAATATAAATACATAGGCAGTATTGCAGGTTCCGATTTTATCAAAACATCTACAGGGAAAGAATCCACAAACGCAACTTTGGAGGTTGCATATGTGATGTGCTCCGCCATCAAGAGATGGTACGAATTGACAGGAAAACAGGCAAGAGTCGCTACGTTTGCGAATTATCTCTACAATTTCTACCTGATTGTGTGTGGGATAGTGTTGCTGTTTGCGTCTATAAATTTTGCTGTCATAGTTCTAGGCAGAGCGTAAGCGATAGACACGTGGAACAAACGCTCCTGTGTGCGCGTTTTTTGTTTCTTGTTCGATTGCGAGAGACCAGTCATTCGCCGAAAAAAGCCCAAAAGCGCTCGAAAAAGCCCAAAAAAGCCCAAAAAACCGAAAAAAGCCCAAAAAGGCCCGAAAGAGTTGGAACGCAGAAACGAAATCAGTGGAATTCTGACGTTATTCTGATGTGCAGACGATAGAAAATGAAGCAAAAAGACTCGGTTGCAAAATCAACACCGTGCCTTAGCGTCAAAACGGAAGGACGTTCCGGCTTTTTGTGGCGCTTTTGGGCTTTTTCGAGTACTTTTGGGCGCTTTTGGGCTTTTGTTGGCGAAGTATGACGGGGTCCTGAGCTATAACAGCGAAAACGGACACCAAACATGTATTTGTAGTAGGTTATTTCAGAAATGCCATGGACAAAAACACCAATTAGCGGAGTTGCATTATAATTTGTAAATCACGACAAGACGGAGCATGATATTAGGAAGATCCAAAAGTAATGGGACACCTAGAAAATAAATTCAGTTTTTTCAAACAGGATAATCAATTGTTTGCTTAGGTTTCGGTAGTGTTAGTACATGTTAAAACCTTCTGGTCGAAATCTGTAGTTAGGCACTGTCGTACGGCGTTATCTTCATAATGGCTTAGAGTCAAAACTTCTCACGATCAGTTTAAGTCGTGCTTTGAGCAGCACCGTCGCAGTGAAACAAGTGAGGCTACAAAAATATCGTACTGCGTTGGTGAGGGGAGTGTCACCAAATCCACGATAGCGTGGTGGTCAAAAAGCTTTGCAACAACAGATACATAATAGGAGACATACCATTTACTATCATCAAGGTAATCAAATGAGCTCACTTTTGATAGTTAGGTCTGGGGTATGTCTCCTATTACACATTTACTGTTGCAAAGCTTACTTAGCTTATTTACTTGACCACTACGCTATCGTGGATTTGATGACACTCCCCTCACCACGCAGTACGATTTTTACGCTCTATCGCAAATGCAATTTACCTCGACTTTTATCATCAAAAACTTTGTGGCCAAAACATGATTTCAAGCCTGAAAATCTGCGCCGAATCTGCAAATCTTTTTCGTACAAACTGCCTCTTTCATATAAAATAATGAAAATTATTTGTGCATTCAAGTAATTTAGAAGGAGCCCAAAAGGTCTTTTGGAATGGTATGTTATTTGTCTGCGGATTTTGTGATATAGGAGCACAAATGCGGACGGCGTGCAAAGGATCCGCAATGCTTGTTAAAATAACATGCGAAAGTCAACTTATACAAAAGCGATTTGAATTGCTGGTTGTTCATCGTTGTTCGGAGGAAATCTTTGAAACTCAAGAAAAAAGCAAAGTGTCCCATAATTTTCGATTCACCCTAGTGTATATACAGGGCTTATCAAACGCAATGTCGCTTGCATCAGCATCTCCACTCTAGCGCTGTATTCTCCTCTTCCGCGAACATGCTCTCTAATCACTTCCAATCGATTGAGGGTCCGCCTTTCCACAGCCCCCCCCCCCCCTGGGAAAGTGATAGAGAGCATGTTCGCGGAAGAGATTCAGAGTCCAGCGCGGGAGCTGAGATGCTGATGCAAGCGGCACTGCGTTTGATAAGCCCTGTGGCTTCTTTCATTTCTTCAGAATGAGCAATGCAATCTTTTGCGAGCGCACAAACTCTCGTTCTGATGTTCGCTTTTCGTTTTTTTACGCCTTCACTAGTACTCTGCGTTGATACCACTGCTT